CGCAACCCAGAGCTCGCGCACGTCGCCACCAAGCACCTCGACTTCACCTTGGAAACGTATCAGGTCGGCTTCTGAGGCGAAGCGTAGTCCCAACCTCACCATCAGGATCGGCTGTGTCAAAGCACATGTCGGCCTCCGGCGATCACAGTGGCTGTCTCAAACAGTACAAACTTCTCCCACATCTGAATGCCTTTGCCAAGACTCGGCCTACGAGCGCCACTCTTGCTGCCACAACGATACCAATTCCTCGCCATTCGACTCGAATGCAATCCTGCGTGAGGCCCCGAAACCTCGAACTTCTCAACTAATGAGAACGACGAGCTCAGGATTGCAACCGATACTCCTAACAATATACTCTTATCCGCTGCCAATGTCGACGTCCGGAACTCCTGAAGCTCCTGAGACATATGCCGGATGCAACGGTAACTAATCAAAGAAGCTGCTGTGCCCCGAGCTCCCCGGGCCTGCGCCACAAAGGACACATCATGGGAGCAAGCGGCTGGCTCCGCTCAGCTACGGGGACGCTCTGCTAGATCCGACGCTGGTACTGTGAGCCAAGGCTCAACGAACCAAGCACTAGGAGGTACTGCCCGGCACCATCCTCAGCGGTAGAGGCAGTGACCTGTGATATTCGCACTTTCACGAGATTCTCGAGGACAACACATACTGGAGAAAAGCAACTTCTAAGTGAGATAGGATAGTTTGATGTATGGCGCGTTCTATAACACGGTCGCACAAAACTAAACGAGTACGACTTTATCGGTATTTGCAGTGCGTGAGGCGTGTACGACTTGTGCATAGGTACGTGGAAACAAGCAGACTAGTAATGTGTGAGAGTTTTTTGGGGCGGAGGGGCGGGGGCATTACATGGACATAGACATAGACATAGACCTAGACCTAGACATAGACATAGACATATATGCATGTCTGGAAATTATCAGATTGAAACGAAGGAGGCAGTCCACCAAGCCTTTTGCACTGCACTGCAATGATCAGTGAGAAACATCATGTCCTCAGACAACTTCACAGGGTCAGCCGGCACTCATATCAAGCTGAAGCCTTCATAGTGCCACCCTTTCTGGGACCTCAGCTGCTTGCGTCAACTGGCGATTTTCGACACTGAATGAAACGCGTGTTCCATTCATTGCAGCCACAGTTGTCTCAAAAACTGGGATCCCAACAGAGTTTCCTGCAAAACCATGGGCAAACGCTTCACTACCTCGGCTGCAAGCGCTGCTCGAGCGAGAGGCGCATCCAGAACCCACGGCGTTCCCAACTTTGCCGCCTTTGCCTCGTCAACACGTAAACGGCTACTGGTATTCCCTTATGGTCCCTTTATAGTTATACGAAAATAACCGCCCTAAAAACCCTATTCTAAATATTAAGGCCCCCCATATTCTCGAGTTCCTGGCAGCAGGTCCACGTCGTCGTCTGTCTTTTTGTTGGAGGTCCCTGGCGGCTTCGCCAGCTTCGGCACCTGAAACCAGGATCATGTCGAACTCGCTAATATGGGGGCCTTGAGAATTAGAAAAGGGTTTTGGGGGTTATTATAGTATAACTACAAAGGGACCCAAGGGAATACCATTGGCGACCTATATTAGGCACAAAGCACTCCACTTGCCCCCCCGGGTTTGTGAAGAACGCGATGATCCTGGCATTCCCCAAGTACAACTTGAATTTGAAACCCTAAACCGTGAACCCTAAACCCTAAACCCTGAACCCTAAACCCCAAAACCCTAAACCCTGAACCCTGAACCCTAAACCCTAAACCCTAAACCCTAAACCCTCAAGATGGCGGTGATCGACGCTTCGCACTAGCCCCTGCGCCGCCGCAGAGCCAGCCTCTGCCGCTGCAGATTCCAGCGCAGTTCTGCGTGCCTAGGGTTTAGGGTTCAGGGTTCAGGGTTTAGGGTTTAGGGTTTAGGGTATAGGGTTTGGGGTTTAGGGTTTAGGGTTTAGGGTTTAGGGTTTAGGGTATAGGGTTTGGGGTTTAGGGTTTAGGGTTTAGGGTTTAGGGTTTAGGGTTTAGGGTTTAGGGTTTAGGGTTTAGGGTTTAGGGTTTAGGGTTTAGGGTTTAGGGTTTAGGGTTTAGGGTCTCACGTAGTCTCAAGCTCATGGATGCTTCCGGAAGCACTCAAGAGGAGCCACAAAGGCTAAAAGTTGGGATGTTCCCCCTTATACTAACAGTCCTTCATAGAGAGGGTCTAGGGTTTAGGGTTTAGGGTCTAAGGTTCCCTATTAAGGACTGTTAGTACAAGGGGAAACATCCCAGTCTAAAAGGCTGTTAAGCTGCATCTTCTCGATCTCTGCCTCGATCCCGGTCACGGTTGCGATCCCTGCAACCAGCAAGGCGAGCTGAAGCATCCAAGAACCCAGGGACTCCAATACCCCTCAATTAAGGAATATTCCTTAAACGATAAGAGGGCTCCTTATATGGTTTAAGGACTATTCCTGAATTAAGGGGGTAGTGGAGTCTCTGGGACCCCATAACTTCGGCGCGCGGACTCAAGCGCGCGCGCGCCTCTCCCGAGGCCCAGCTTCGCTGGTGTAGTTCATCAGCTGGGGCGCGTCGAAGTCATCCTGGAAATCAAGTCGACAGTGCAGAAAGGAGATTTTGCACGTGGACTTGGCATGATGACTCTCAAGCACCGACCATGGCATGATCCCTTTTACCTGTGCGGATGTGAGTTCTCTCAGGACGTTACATGATCCATGCCGCCCGGATTGGGGTGCTGTCCAAGAGTACCCCCCAAGACGGTCTAGGGTCTTTGTGGCATTTTGCAGGCAGCACGCTGTTTGCAAACTTGCAGAGATGAAGGGGTAAAAAAAGCACAAACAACAACACAAACAAAAACAAACAACAAACAACAAACAACAAACAACAAACAACAAACAACAAACAACAAGCAACAAGCAACAAGCAACAAGCAACAAGCAACAAGCAACAAACAACAAGCAACAAGCAACAAACAACAAACAACAAACAACAAACAACAAACAACAAACAACAAGCAACAAACAACAAACAACGAACAACAAACAACAAGCAACAACCTGCGGGCTTGTGTAGTCTCGGACAGCTCCAGTGCTAATTGTAGCGATTGGCAACTTGGGAAAAAATCTCAGTCAGCAGTCTGTGGCAAACATATGGGAAGTGTCCCAAAGCTAGGATATCCTTTTATTCCCGTAGAATGCCCTGTAACAGGACCCACTGCAGCCTGACACTACTTCACAGGCGCAATGGGGAAAAGTCCGCTGCCACCGTACCGACCCACAAGTTTGGGTTCTGGGGCTCACACAAACGCCAAGCCCTAGACACTCAGATCTTTACTTGCTTCAACAGCAACTGAAATGCGATGGATGGTGTTGCCGCAAAAGCTTTGATGAACATAGTAGACAAATGGCGACATCTTGGGCGGTCTTCTGTACGTTTCATGAACCCCAGGGGCACTTCTGTATATTTCGGTATTCTTCTCGTTTTACCAGGGGGAATAACACAAGTCGTGATCGTCGTTCTCAGAGCAGCAGGACAGGAATAATCGCAATACTGTTCAAAAGAAATCAACAACATCACGTAGTGAAATACCGACGGTGGTGGAGGCAAGAGCCAGAAGAACTGCGTACCAAGTAGCAAAAGCAGCAAGACGTATAACAGCAACGAGAATTATGAATCTTTGCTACAACCTCAGACAACACTACAACAAAACTACTGCAATGCCTACTCACACATCGAGAACTCCTTTGCTGCTACCAACAACGAAAATAGTTGACAAATACCTGTGACATAAGGAACCCCTCATACGTAAAGGCAAAAATCGCACTAGTGATGACTAACAGTGCCGAACAAACATCAGCCCATTTCTGAGTATGCGAAAACCCTAAGCCCTAAGCCCTAAAAATCAGAAGTTACTAGTAACGATCTTTGAGTTTATCAAGACCTGGGCGAAAATGATGCCAGCCCCCAGCGGATCTCACCGTCACTTGCCGCTGAGTTGGGTGCGGAATGTGTTCTGAAGAAACTTTTGGGTTTAGGGTTTACAGGGCTTGGGGTTAGGATGCTCCTGTCCGAATAACTCGCAGGAAGCACTAAAGAAGATCAGCCTAGCACGGCGCACGACAGAGGGAAATCGGACAAGCAGTCGGAAACGAGAAGAAGCGGAGAGAAAGGGATGCTGAAGACCGTCAAGCATGAATGCAGCAGAGCAGACAGGGTGGAAAATCAGGAGCTGCGCAAAACAGAATAGAAGTGGAATCATGAGAAAAGGCAAAGAAGGAGGCGAATCGGGAAGAGAGATAAGCATCAGTAACACACGTCACTTTGGCCGTACAAGCTCTCCTAGAAGTACTGTAGCATTCTTGCATTCTTACATTTTGACATGATTGCATTATCACATTAGTACATCATTACATTCTGACCATATGACAGCATGACATTATGACATTCTGACATTATTACATTGCTACAGTGGTACATTACTACATTACTACTCTACTTCATTGTTACACTCTCGCATTATTACATGTCTACAGTATTGCATTATTACACGATTACATTATTGCATTATTACAGTATTGCATTACTGCCTTATTGCCTTTTTGCCTTGTTGCCTTATTACCTTGTCGGCACGGGGAGAGGTCCCAAAGAAGTCTGGTGCTACCTCATTACCTTTCTACATTACTACATGATTATATGTCTAGATTATTATACGATTACATGCCTATTTTTTATTGCTATATGGTTATACTGTCAAATGGTTATAATGTTATCTGGTTATCTTGTTATGTTGTCATTCTGGTCTTCTATTCCATTATTCTTTTGTTATACAATTATATTGATCTATCACAACTTTTTGTATTATGGTGTGATCGTGTTATAGCAGTTGATAGAATTACAGTGTTTCTAGCATTCGAGTATTCTGGTATTGTACTATTACAGCATTGTAGTATTTATCGCTTCAGCATTTTAAGCATCTTAGTGCGTCTGCCCCCGCGCCGCGGGCCTGGTCATTCTCGATGAAGTCAGCGTCAAAGCGAGTGCCGACGCTGTCCAAGGCTGGCCGGGACGTGGCACTTAAACCCCCACGTCTGCCACTGGCTACCAGGCAGAATGTTCAACATGCTCCAGTGGTTTAGGGTTTAGGGTTTAGGGTTTAGGGTTTAGGGTTTAGGGTTTAGGGTTTAGGGTCTAGGGTTTAGGGCTTAGGGCTTAGGGTTTAGGTTTTAGGGTTTAGGGTTTAGGGGTTCAACATGCTCCAGTGAACTGTCGACCTGACTCAGGTGCTTTGACGCCGATACCGGCGTACTGGACGGCACCGTGGGAAGAGAAACCTGGAACAGATCAAGCGCACACATGGCCGCCACGACCACTGCAGAGTCGCACTGTTCGCAATCGAAGCTGGGCTGGCCGTAATTCGCAAAGACGCCCTTCATGCGGTCGCTCTGGGACCTCCGCAACAAGTCGGTTCGCCAAGTCGACAGAAGTTGTTGTATGAACGCTGCTTGCATCGACTCAAGGCCAAGCGCACCTTTGCTCTAACTTGGGATGTTGTGCCCAGGTTAAAACGAAGCATCCCATGTCAGGATGTAGCACCCCCGGGTGTCGGAGCAAGAGGGACAAACGGGGACAAACAGAAGCAACCTGTGATAGCTTGATCTCCTCCACTAGCCCCACTTGCCGTCAGCCAGAGACGGCAAAGCTCATCTAGGGACCAGGCAAGTAGTTCACGGTGAGCAGGACCACCTTTCACAGAATACATATGGAGATTTCTGCGATCAGCTAACCTGCCCGGTGTCAGGACATGTCTGTGTCAGCATTCTACACGCGCAGGAAAGATGTACGTAGGTGTGGTGGTGTCTTCATTCCTCGCACATTTGGGGATGTGGGCCTGCACGACCAAACGAGACACTGGCACTCACGATTTCGCGCTCTGTGGGTCCGGCCGCAAGCATTCCTAGTGCTCCCAGCACAGACCATGCGCCTGCACAGGCCAGTGCCAGCTTCATTGGGCAGTGGGCACCTACTGCATATTCCACACTGTGAGGTTGGTGATTAGGCCCCAGATGTTTGGCTTTTGCATGCTTGTCTGCACTTCTGGTCTTCTCTGATGTGTCACTGACGTCACCTCTGTGCAGAGCCATGATCATATCCCAGAGGTCACAAGGATCCCAAGATGGATTGCCATCAGAAATGCACATATTATTAGTACTAATAGTAGTAGTAGTAGTAGTAGTAGTAGTAGTAGTAGTCGTAGTCGTAGTCGTAGTCGTAGTCGTAGTCGTAGTCGTAGTCGTAGTAGTAGTAGTAGTAGTAGTAGTAGTAGTAGTAGTAGTAGTAGTAGTAGTAGTAGTAGTAGTAGTAGTAGTAGTAGTAGCAGTAGCGGTAGTAGTAGTAGTAGTAGTAGTAGTAGTAGTAGTAGTAGTAGTAGTAGTAGTAGTAGTAGTAGTAGTAGTAGTAGTAGTAGTTATATGAATCTTACTATTACTGGTAGTATCACGACATCTGCCATCGCCTTTGCTCATCGGCTTGGCCGGACAGGGCACGGCCACCTACATGTGCAAACGCCATCCAGACATGCAGCTTGTGCCTTTGCTTGCTGACCCGGACAGGACACGGACAGACTTGCAGACAGCTGCTTGGCTGCTTCATGCCGGCAGACACCTGTGTCTCTTCAAACTGAAACATCCTTGCGCCTGCTACATTCCACAACTCAATGACACATCAGCCACAATGGTAAGTTCCAGGAGTCTTGGATACTGCGCAGGAGACTCTATCGGTAAATTGCACCCGCCTGTTGTGGCTGCCAGCCGCCCTCGCAAGTGTCTCCGACCACTTTGCGGTATCCAGTCTGCCAACCAGTCAGCTCGGATTCAACAAAATACGGTGCAGGGTTGAAGTGGGCATTTCCCAGAATAGGGGTACCCCCTCATACACCCCGACTAGAATAGAATCCTCTTAGGGACCCCAAAAAGGGTACCTCTATTTTCGGAAACCCCCAAGTGTGACAAGGTTCAGCTCCACTACAGTCCAGGTTGAAATGGTATGGACCGTCGCAGTTGCAACTGGTTTAGGTAGAGAAGCATGCCTAAAGCAGCTTACCCAAGGCGAGGTACCCCCGAAGCAACCCAACGTTGTCATTCCCATATAGTCATAATGACTGCTAGTACTAGCATCTCAAATCGCATGCATACATTTCAAGGCATGCTGAGGCGTTGGCAGCAAAGAAATGGTCGTTTCTCGAGCAGCTGAAGGGGATCTGGCAGTCAAAGAAGCCACATCACAAGCAGGACGATGTCAGCTTCAGTTCCATTAGAATTTGATGTTGGCATCAAATCCAAGAATAGCTATTGGCTTGCAGATTGGCCTTGAAATAGTTTCCTGTACTGTCTTGCTTGTTGTGCACCATCTGTTCTCCACCCCGCACCCCTGCGCACTCTTTCCAGCCTAAAACCCAAGTTAGACCATTTTTTGCCGTAAGCGGAAGACACAGCACGTGTAACATCACAGCGCGGGTAAACAAACATGCGCGCTGAGCAAATCACATTCTTGCAATGTCGAGCCAATGCGTGCCAAAGATCACAAGTTTGCGGGTACAACACATACCGGCATGTCAGCGTGAGTTCTGCACTCAAGCTGCTTCGGGAAAGCGCGGTTCGCTTCGGAGCTCGAGGAACAGCGGAAAGTCAGGAGCCCATGAATGGCAGGACGCCGTCACAAATGCGCCCTTGCGACGGACGCCCGTACGCGGAGTGTCAAATATCACAGGAGCGAGAACCTGAGTTTCTTCTTTTTCGCCCGACGCTCAGAACATCAAAGGAAGACCGGTACACAGCCCCGGCTAATATGCCTGGTGAAGTTCTCCTTGTGCATGACGGCGCCCGGGCATCGGCTTAGAGCACGCTGGTCCATCGACATGTCGGGAGGCGTATCCCGTGATGACCAGCTGCATCAGGCTGCCGAAATCCTTGCCTTCGAGCCCCGGAACTTCCGCACCCCGTGATGGATGAGATCCCGGAGGAGGTGGTCCACATGGCGGCGACGAATGTAAGTAGCTTGGGGGGGGGAGATGCTTCGAAGGCCTTATCGGTTCGCTTCAAGTTCATGCGCACTCACAAAGCGCGCATGTCCAGACTTCAAGCCGGGATCCCCAAAGTAGGCTGGATACATGCCGGGCATCCGTGCACGCTAGTGTGCACTGACATGATTAAGGCATGTCTCTGAGCCTCTGCCTGCCTTGATGCTACCAAGACCACATTCTGCCGCAGCCTTGATGGACCCATCATCGGCATACTTGCAGTCGAAGGATCCGACCTCGGACAAAATTCAAATTCAACTTGGCAACTTAAGCACTGCTACATGGCAATTGATCGCGGAAGGACACTCCTTGGGGTGCTCCCCCTTACACTATATACGTCGTCCTTAATAAGGATTATAGTAGGGGGTTCCCTATTAGGGACTGTTAGTGTAAGAGGGAACATCCCAAGACATTGCTGGTAATTTGGGTAAAGGAGACTGGGCAGCCGGCTGCGCGGGTGAAGCCCACTTCGCACTCGAAGTTCTCTTGGGTGCACTCGCAATTCTGGCACAAAATGGTCAGAAATCGACTGAAGTCTGCTCTTAGGCTTAGGTTTAGGGTTTAGGGTTTAGGGTTTAGGGTTTAGGGTTTAGGGTTTAGGGTTTAGGGTTTAGGGCTTAGGGCTTAGGGGGCTTAGGGCTTAGGGCTTAGGGCTTAGGGCTTAGGGCTTAGGGCTTAGGGTTTAGGGTTTAGGGTTTAGGGTTTAGGGTTTAGGGTTTAGGGTTTAGGGTTTAGGGTTTAGGGTTTAGGGTTTAGGGTTTAGGGTTTAGGGTTTAGGGCGAAGGGTTAGGGTTTAGGGTTCAGGGTTTTAGGGTTTTAGGGTTTAGGGTTTAGGGTTTATAGGGTTCAAAACGCTTGAACGATGGAAGCGGTCGGACAATGGACGAGTTCATCTTGAACAAACACGTGAGTCTGTGCCAACATCTGGCTCCTCGGGTCCTAGATTTACCTGCAGCAACCCTCTCGTACCGCAAGTCTCTCGTGCCATGGCACGCACAGGCCTTCTTGCTAACCGGGCGCTCAAACTTCTCGCCGTTGAAGCATTCAGAAGTCTGCTTGCGCCTGGTGTAAGTCACCTGCACCCATCAAACAAGCACAGCGCAGCTCTCCTTCATGCCAAAACGCGCGTCTTCGCGGAAGACAGTTACTTTCGCGGACCCATCGCAGCAGGGGCTTCTGTTGTTGGCCCAACTTTCGATCCCTGATTCCCTTAAGTTTCGAGGCTGACCAAACGAATCCAAGACCAAAGCCCTAAAGGGTTTAGGTTCATGTTTGCGCCCAGAAATCTACATGGACACCTGGACAATATGAGTCCAAGTACAACGCAAGGCCACCGACGCTAGAACCGAAACCCTGTAGACCTTGCTAAGCCCTTCAGTTCGTAAGTCCGGAATGTTTAACACGAGATCTGTGCCAGTTGTTTGGAGGCGGTCCGAGAAGGCTGGTTGCAGTCCGGCCCTTGTAAGCTAGGCGGGTTTAGGGTTTAATATAGGGTTTAGGGTTTAGGGTTCAGGGTTTAGGGTTTAGGGTTTAGGGTCTGCGCAAGGCCGCGGATCTCGGATGGGCAGCTTAAAGAGGGAAACTGGAGGCTTGGAAGCTGCTCGCATACTCTTGAGGTTGCGCGGGCCACTGTGGGTCACTGCTTGCTAAACTTCCCACAAGGTCGACCCTTAGATCAACCCTCATACAGCAAGACCTGTCAATCCAGAGTCCCACCTCTTATCCAACCTGTAAAACCCTCGCAAACTCCGAAAGACGAATCCCTTTTTTCGAGGGGCTCTGTTCAGGGATAGTAAAAAGTGGGGATTGCGAGGAGGGTGATATGCAAGGTAAGTACAGCCATCCTAAACTACGTCACAACTGCTTTATAGCCTCTTTTTATTTCTTAAGGGAGGCCCCTGCTTCGTGCCACCCATGAGCTTTCAAGGCGGGGCGCAAGCCTTTCACATTGTGCCAAGCGTTGGTCGCACTTGGGCCGTGCTTGGTGCTGCAATGAATCCTATAGTCAACACAGCAAGAGGCACTGAATAGGAAGCAGTCAAACTTCTCGATGTCTGCAACACCAGCCGTTCACGAGTTTGTCGAATGACGACAGGAGACACGGGATCACCAGATGTCGCGCAATAACCTTCACTGGCCACATCACGACCTGAAGAGCTGACCGTTCGAAGCCCCTGAAAGCCCTGTCAACAGCCGGCTCGAGCAGGACGCGCGTTACGTGTAGATGCCCGCCCTTCGAGGCAACCCAGAAGGGGGTCTCGCCCTGCTTGTTTCTAGCAGCCGTATCAGCCCGGGCCAGAACAAGAAGCTCCACGACTTCGCCATGGCCGCGAGCTGAGGCAATCCACAAAGGGGAGGCGCCGAAGTTGTTGCTGTGATCCATGTCTGCGGCTGCCTCAATCAGCAACCGAACGATCTCCAAATGTGCATGCCGCGCGGCGGTCCACAAGGGCGTAACGCCGCTCACATCGGCCGTGTCCTTGCCCGCTCCGGCGCAGAGCAGCAACCGCGCCACCTCCACGTGGCCCTGCGCGCAGGCCACGAACAGAGGCGATGCACCCGTTTCGTTGTTGGCCCTATCCTTATCAGCACCCGCCAGGAGCAACACGCGGAGGATCTCCAAGTGTCCATTCACGGCGGCTACCCAGAGAGGTGTGGTGCCGGAAATGGCTGGCTTATCCTTATCCGCTCCAGCTTCCAGGAGGAGGCGTGCGATCTCCAAATGGCCGGTTTTGCATGCAGTCCACAGCGGCGATCCACCAAAGAGATCCGTTGCTTTGTCCTTGTCAGCGCCCGCCTCCAGCAGCAAGCGCACACACGTCTCACTGCCATGGCTGGAGGCAACTCCCAGCGCAGTGCGCTCGTGGTGGTCCACGCAGTCCGGATGAAGTGGCATTTGCAGAAGCAGGTCCATTTCTTCTGCCTGATCTAAGGCAGCTGCACGTTGAAGTGCCTTGAGCTGCTTTGTCGTGGCAGTGCGGAAAGGAACGATGACCAGTTGAAAACACTGAGAGCAATCTGAGGCCAACGGGGCCTGGTCACTGACTAACATGTTTCCATTTCCATTGCACAGAAGTCTTTGTCTGCGCACGGGTACGCCGAGCAGGGCATGCAAATGCTGCTTGAGGGATTTCATAGAACTTCCGTAGGCCGCTGTGATCTCGGTGACATCAGCGACGCTGAGAGAGGCAACCTCTTCACCCGACAGCCCGTGAACTCGCATGGCGTGGGCAGGATAGCTGCAGGTGTGATCCATACCCTGCACGAAATGCACGAAAGCAACCAAGATCTCGCAACAAAATGGCAATGAATGACATGCTACAACCACCTGAACACCCTGCAGTAGATGACCTCGAAACAGAATCCTTACCTTCTCATTCTCCCGATAGACTTCGGGCTCGAAACATGGCCCCCTGCTATGAGCCGAGACTGCTGGCGGTCCATCAGTTTGCTTCGGGCCCCACTTGTGAAGCAATGCAAGCTCCTCTGACTCGTCTTCGTTCGGAATGAACTACGTTCCTCTTACTCGCTCTCGTTCGGAATGAGTTGCAGGTACGTGCGACAAAGCTGCCTGCAACTAGCGCCAGAGCTGCCCGGAGTTGCTTGATGCGATCTCTTCTTGCCACATCATTTGCACTTCATTCTACAGCTGGTGTAACTCTACCGTGCAGCCTCAACCCTAAACACAAAAACCCTAAAACCCTAAAAGCCCAAAACCTTAAAACCCTAACACCCTAAGCCCACAACCCTAAACCCTCAAACCTAAAGCCCCCCTCGCCTGCTTCCCCATGAGGCATTTCTCCGTGCTCTTTCCATCGGATGGACTCCACGTCTCCTGGCCAAAACCGCTGAGAAAGCCGCTTTGTTGGGCAACTAAAAGACATGTGGTCAACGGTTTAGGGGCCCCCTAGAAGACCAACCCCAACAGGGGCCCTAATTTAGAGAATCCCACTTGAAGAAGCATAGAATCAGTTGAGCGGCATAGTCCGAGGACACGGAGTCGGCAGCCCAAACGCCCTGCACGCACTCAGACGGAATGACGGAACTCATGGATACTGGCTCCCTTCGCCTCTTGCCTTCTGTATCCTTCTCGGGCCCCCCCCCCTAGAAGTCAAGGCTGTAGGATGAAACTTCTCCGGAGCTCGGGGTATCGCGGGGCGTGGGGTTGCTGGGTTTCGCAACATGACACGACTGCAAGCAGTTTACATGGGCCGTCGACCAGAAGCGCGCATGCAATGTAAACGCTGCTCATCGCGCATGCTCGGGCGTGCTTCTCGGGAGAGAAAGGAGGGTCAGGAATGTGAGCCTGACTGCACGCTTTTGGAGCTGAGGTGTTAGAGTCGAGGCGGAGGGATGTGTTCATTCCATCGGGAAACAGTAGGAGTAGCGAAGGCCTGACAGCAGCGGATCCAAAGGGACTCTGAAAGAACAGGCATTCCGACACTCACTCTCGACCCCCGTCACATGAGATGGACAGACCTTGCAGAGCGGTTGCCCAAGGGTCTCGAAGTTCAGGTGGTACATTACGCCCTGGCACTTCCCAGACTACCCAGAGGAATTGCGCTTGCACTGAGAAGCTGCAACTTGGTGCCACAAGTACTTCTCAAGCAGCGCTCAACACATACGGGCATGGGCCGTGTCGCCACGAGTGCCATAGAGGAGGAACTTCGTCGAAGTCGCGTTCGGCTCTGTCACGATGTTGTCCACCTGCTCAGCCCCATCTTTCAAGGCACGTCTGACTGGTACAAGAGCCGTGCAAAAACAATGATGGACATCGCTGACCTTTGAGTTTCAGACAAAAACACGCGGCGGAACATAACTAGCGCCACCGATAGTTTGACAAGCCCAATGCGAGACCAAATGCCATGCAATGACATCCACCATCACCATGCATTACACCACCGTCCAGCGTGAAACAGGCAACCACCACCACCACCACCACCACCACCACCACCACCACCACCACCACCAGCAGCAGCAGCAGCAGCAGCAGCAGCAGCAGCAGCAGCAGCAGCAGCAGCAGCAGCAGCAGCAGCAGCACCGCCACCGCCACCGCCACCGCCACCCGCCACCGCCACCGCCACCACCACCACCACCACCACCACCACCACCAACCACCACCACCACCACCACCACCACCACCACCACCACCACCACCACCACCACCACCACCACTACAGCTGACGCCACCATCACTGCCATCGCGACCACCATCATCACATACCATCACACAATGGCTGCCACAACAACCACTGCCGCCATCACCCACGCCGCTGCCACCCCCCCATCGCCACAAATCTGCATCCTCCACCTCCTCATCCTCATCATCTCCCATCATCATCACCATCGTTATCATCATCATCGTTATCATCGTTATCATCGTTATCATCGTTATCATCGTTATCATCGTTATCATCGTTATCATCGTTATCATCGTTATCATCATCATCATCATCATCATCATCATCATCATCATCATCATCATCATCGCCGTCATCAAGTCCGGATCTTCGGGTCTGCTGCCAGCTCAGCCTCAATGGGCATGGAGGAGAGCTCGAAGTCGTACCAGCTCTGGCCCTCATTCCAAGAGAAGACGACCTCAGCTCTGCATCTGCGCCACAGCGCTTGTAACCGCAGTTTAGGGTTTAGGGTTTAGGGTTTAGGGTTGAGGGTTTAGGGTTTAGGGTTTAGGGTTTAGGGTCGAGGGTCTAGGGTTTAGGGTTCAGGGTTTAGGGTTTAGGGTTTAGGGTTTAGGGTTTAGGGTCGAGGGTCTAGGGTTTAGGGTTCAGGGTTTAGGGTTTAGGGTTTAGGGATGAACGGACAGCTGGTGTTGCTTTCTTGGGGCTTCGGGCTGTGTGCTTAGGGCTTCGGGTGCTGGGTTTAGGGCTTCGGGCCTGTTTAGGGTTCAGGGGCTAGCGCCCGGGAGATGGTTGTAATTCAAACGATGTCGATTTGTACCAGCCACGTAGTGCAATCTGCACTGATTCTCGCTGGGCATTTTCAAAGCCTGGGCAGCTGACCAGCTTCGTCTTCCGCACGTCGTCGGCCATGACGACGAGCCCACCATGATCACCGTACTCATAGATGAAGGCACCTGCAGAAACTGGGGTTGCTGTGAAAGAACTACCATAATAGATCTTAGGGTTTAGGGCTTAGGGTTGTGGGTTCTGTGAGAGACCATGTGAGCCCAGACGTCCAAAAGCGAGGACAACTGCAGCCACGAACTCCAAAAGTGATGATAGCTTCGAGCACGGCGAGCGCCCAGGTGAGAGCGCGATTTTCGGAAAACACCGTGGTCCGGAACGTGGCCATGTGCGTTTCACCCCCTTGGGGTTGACAGACTGTTTGTGGACTATCGTTTATCAGAAAACTAGACTCTATTGTGGTGACTTAATTTAAGGACAATACGACAGGCCATACTCAAACTTCGTAAACGGAACACACTCCCGAACTTGCAATATGCTGCGGCGATGTGCTGTGGCAGATGCTTGCCTGCTGCAAGTTGCAGAGCTGCTCGAACAACACACAAAGGGTCAAACAAACAACTGTCCACATCCATTGGCAGGCCCGGCCTTTGTGTGCTTCAAGCCAGGTGAGGCCACCATCGCGGGACAAGTAGGTGTTGGTCTGACGGAAACGAGTGCTCCACAGAACCACCCCAAAACATGCGGTTGGCAAACACCCTTTTCCGCTTGTAAACCGGAAGCATTTGCAACCCGAAATTCTGGCGCTCCGGTTATCGGCGCCTGGTCTGGCTCAAAGCGCAAGTAGGGGCCAACATTACCAGTGCCTTGCTTGCAGCAACGTTTTAAAGAAAGAAGCAGCACTGAAAAGTACTGCAAGGGCCTCACGGGCCTCACAAGAACGCTGCGATATCTGGGCTGCCGGACCCATGATGATGCCAATGGCATTCTCCGTGGAGTAGAAGGGCCTTGCAGGCTTGCCAAACTTGGGGAAGCTGTTCTCACGATTTTTCAGTATGATATCTCGTGGTTGCGGGAGCATGCAGCCGCGTGAGGATTGCCCTGCTGAGCGCTGCACGCATAGTTGTGAAAATTTGTGATACCATGCCTGGCCGAGCAAATGCAGAACCCTAGGTTGAGGGTCTGGGGACGAAAGGGTTCTCTCTGCTACAAGAAGAAGGCTGCTCTTCAGCGATGCAAAGGCAGACTGCGCGAAAAGAGGAAATGTGATTTGGGATGTGCTTCTGGAAAGGAAGCCGCGATGGATGAAACGCCGGATGTTGGCACAAAGCACCGCAACATTGGACCATTCCACCTGCAACCTACAGTTGAAACCCCTAATAATCTACGGGGTTTTGCTGTGCATTGCGGCTGCACCAACCATCACCGCTCCTCGCAATAACAGGCCGGCGCGACAAGTGAAGCCAACACTTATCCGGAGGGCAGTCAATCTGCTTGCCAGTGGAGTCCACACGTGGCGGCTTCAGATAGGACCTCCGCATCTGAACGTATATGAGTACTATAGACACCACTACTAATTTACGATCATGGCTGGAAAACTCTCTCTTGCCACTCCTGCTGCTATTGGAACCAGTCCAGTTGTCCTTACCGATGGTACTCTCACGGTTGCTACTCTCTGTACGACTTTAACTACTATCACTACTGAAAAGCTTCTTTTGCTCTCATGCATGTTCTGTCCGTGATTACTATCTGTGGAACTGCGTCAGGCTGCAGGCAAGTCTGAGAATGCGTCCATACTCCGCCCTTGTCGAACGAGATCACGGTGCGAACCTCACAACCAGCATCCGCATCCATGTAGGAGCCGAAGGGACTCTCGGGTGAGGGGGCTCGGGGTGAAGGGCTTGACTGCACTCCTAGAAAAGAAGCAGCATTGTCCATCCAGGAGATGACCCCCAAGGCTTCGGCCACGCTTTCCTCTTTGGCCTTGTTCTTCGGAGCCCTCCTCTTGTCCACCTGAGTGCCAGGCACTTTTACGTGGCCGAAGAGGCCAGAAGCCGACAACCCGGCTCCTCGAACCAAACTAAGTCTTAACCCTAACTAAAGGCTAAAGGCAAAACCTAAACCCCAAAACAGGCCCTAAGTACCGAGCCCTAAAAAGATGGAGGAAACCAAAAGCCGAAAAAAACAACCTAAGCTTTAAGGGTAGCTACATGGTCCCTTCGTATGGGCCCCCTTACACAATTACCCCCTTCTAGACCTATAAACTACCCCAAGATAAGCCCCCTGAACCCTAAACCCTAAACTCTAAGCCCGAAGCCCTAAACCCTAAACCCTAAACCCTAAACCCTAAACCCTCTTACCTAAACTACCCTAAGAGAAGCCCGAACACCTCAACACCAACGTCGCCTCCGTGCCGGCCGCGGCTTCTCCTTCCAGGGCTTCTCCTTCGGCTGCTGCTTCCTGCAGGGTTTAGGGTTTAGGGTTTAGGGTTTGGGGTTTAGGGTTTAGGGTTTAGGGTTTAGGGTTTAGGGTTTAGGGTTTAGGGCTTAGGGTTTAGGGTTTAGTGCCTATGAGGTCCCTCCTTTCTTGAAAAGAAGTAACAAACCCTACGCCCTAGACCCTAAACCCTGAGCCCTAAACCCTAAACCTTAAACCCTAAATGAACCCTAAACCTTAAACCCGAACCCCTAAACCCCTAAACCCCTAAACCCCTAAACCCCTAAACCCCTAAACCCCTAAACCCCTACACCCCTAAACCCCTACACCCCTAAACCCCTAAACCCCTAAACCCCTAAACCCCTAAACCCCTAAACCCCTAAAACCCTATACCCCTAAACCCCTAAACCCCTAAACCCCTAAACCCCTAAACCGCTAAACCCCTACACCCCTACACCCCTACACCCCTACACCCCTACCCCTAACCCCCTAACCCCCTACACCCCTAAACCCCTAAACCCCTAAACCCCTAAACCCCTAAACCCCTAAACCCCTAAACCCCTAAACCCCTAAACCCCTAAACCCCTAAACCCCTAAACCCCTAAACCCCTAAACCCCTAAACCCCTAAACCCGTAAACCCTTAAACCCCTAACCCCCTAACCCTTAAAACCCCTAAACCCCGAAACCCCTAAACCCCTAAACCCCTAACCCCCTAAACCCCTAAACCCCTCCCCCCTCCACCCCTCCACCTCAACCCCTAACCCTAAACCCTAAACCCTAAACCCCTAACCCCTAAACCCTAAACCCCTAAAACCCTAAAACCCCTAAACCCCTAACACCTAAACACCTAAACCCCTAAACCTAAACCCCTAAAACCCTAACCCCCTAAACCTCAACCCTACACCCCTACCCCCTAACCCCTAAACCCTACACCCCTAAACCCATATACGGGGCAACCGAAAGGGAACAGGGAAAGAAACCAACCCTCAACAGTCGCCTACATGGATTTCCCAGATCGAACCAGAAACAAGAACACCCACCCCTAAGGAGACAGGATAAGGGAGAAGGGACGGGACTACTCCAACCCGTTAAACCCAACCCCAGGCGTACGTACTTTTTCAACAAAAGCTGACGGCTCTTGGCCATCTTGAGCCAAACAAGATTTCCGGGTTCATTGACCCTTCCAACCCCCAACACTACTCCTTTCTACAATACCAGTTGCAGCTCCGCACTCCCCCTGTCCTAGGATTTCCTAGGACACATTGGAGGTGCAGATCTTTTGGCCAAAAACTGCCATTAAGGCAGCAGCCAGCTGCTTGAAATGCACAATATGGTTTTACGTCATCCAGGACGAAATTATAGCACATTGGCTAAACCCACTAACCACAGAGAATCTTTTTCCACCATGATCCTCTTATCATTGAAGACTCTTCGGCCTTCTTCACCACAAACCGTGGTCTTCGCTACGCGAAAAACTACTGACTTCTACTATCAGGGATTTCCATACCCTTAATAGTAGCCACCACATTGTCAGCACATTGGCTGTTCCAGCGCACCTGTCTCTAGAAAGAGAAAAACCATCCCTTCATCCATACCATCCAATCACTTCTTTTTCCGATTGTTGGCAATTCTGAGGTGAAGTTGCAGCAGAATATACTCCAGGTCCGAAACTGTAAGAACAGGATCCTGCACGCACCTTTGAATTGAGGATACCAATCCTTCTCTCTTTGCGTCCTCAGTCGCTTGGCAAGATTGACCCAGCTCTGCATTCACAGTGGTAGACGCTGGTGCATCCACATCAGATGGACGATCCTTTTCCTCAGGACCTTGCACCATTACCACCTCTTCCTTTTTGGGACTCTGACTTTTCTCCTTCTTCTTCGTCTTTCCACCGACGTTTGACTTTGTGCGCATTTTCGAGGCTTTTTCCCCTGCAGAAACTACCGCATTGGATGATGACCCACCCCTCTCAATGTTCGCCGGCATCTTCTTCGGCTTTGGAACCAGGAGAGTGTAAGGATCTTCGATAGCTGCAGCTTTCCTCTTCTTTTTGACCTTTTTCATCTCCTCCTCAACGGCAACCTCCGTCTCCGAAGTCTCAACCACCTCCTTTTCGGCAGGAATATCCTTGCTGGACTCCCTTTCTAGGGACCTCTTTTTTCCCCTTTTGGGATCTTTCTCTTCTCCCACGTTGGCACGCTCGAACCATATCCTCAGGTCATTGACCCATTCTTCCACCTCTGCGAGCGAAACATCATACGACTTCACTACTTCGTGAAGGTCCAGCACGGACAGCATACCAGTGGTCCACGAAACCCATTCTCTATCCATCTGGTCAGTATCTCCATTGAACTTCAGGAGTTTGAACAATGGGTCCGCCTCTGCTCGAGCCAAATCTGGCTTGCCATCGGACAGAAGTGAAATCGCCTCCATCAACAGTTCCGTCATTTTGGTATCATCGTCATAACCCATAAAATCCTCCTCACCATCATCGAACTGTTCAGGAGAAATCTCCTTTTCTCCACCTTTTGCACCAGAACTTCTCCTTGGACCATCCCTTGGGGGCGTCCTTGGAGACCTTGGCCTCTGTTCATCCAGCGGAACACCATGCTCGAAGACACACCTGTCACCATAACGACACTTCCCAGACCGAGCAAACTGGATGCACCTCACACCAGTTGCATCATGCGAGAACGCACAATCCTTTCCAGCGAAACAGTCTCTCCCTGCCACATAGTATTTGCACCAATACGAATGTAGCACCACATCATCTTCTGAATGGATGAATTTGCAGTCTTCACCAAATTTGCAGCGATCTTTCCCCTTGCTGAACCAATAGCAGAAGCCTTTCTTCCTCTTCTCCAAGCGCTCTGCCTCGTACCGGTCCATAGGGCGATTCTGCTCTACATGAACATTGCCATGTACCTGAGAACTGCTCCCTTCACCCAAGGTGCTATCAGTATTTGATGCTTGGAGTACAGCTGGAAAACCTGGCCTTGGTCCTACCACCTTCATGATTGGTTTTCCGCCAGCTCCTGAGCCATGCTGAGACGATCCAAAAACATTGAACATCTTCATGAAGGCCTTTCTAGCGCCGATCTTCTGCACCCTTTTGGTTGGACGTTTCATTGCTCCAACCTTGCATCCAGATGCGTTCAAACGACACAACCTCCTATACCCAGCTCTATATCCCTTCTTCCAAAGAGCCATAAGAATTCTAGAGGCAGTAACATTCTCCACCTCTACCTTTTCCAACGGTCCCTCACTTCCCGGAACAAACCCATCCAACCCATCCATATCTGAAGACCTTTCCATCTTTTTTGACACCACTTCGTCGAGGTAGTCTTCAGAGATCCAGGGTAAGTTCCTCTTAGAGGAAGGATTGTCACCATTGTTTGGTCCTTCCCCTTTGTGCTGTCAAAGATCTTACCAGTAGTGCGGTCCTGCGTAGAGAAATTGGAAGCAACGCGAGAGTACCCTGACCACAAGAAAATCCTTGTGCCAGCCAGTCTTGACGACCCACTGGATGTCTCCTCTTCCGGAGAAACTTCTGGCGCTTTGCCATCCCTTCCAGTGTCACCAATTGTCTCACCTCCAGCATCTTCAATGGGAATAAGGGATTCATTGTTCCCTTGATCAAGTACCGCATCCTCCGGTCCAAGAACTTCCAGCACCGCTGTCGAAGGATCCACTTCTTCATCAGCATCGTCGTCCATCCTTCTCCAGAGAACCTCCAATTGATCAGCGCAAGTCGCCGCCTGAAGGAACTCCATCAACTGGGCCCTCCCGCGCTGCCAGAGAAACTCCAAAAACATCACTGACCCTTGGGCTCCTAGGGTAAGGAACGGATGAACCAATT